AAATGACCCCAATATCAAAATAGTATGTGAGGCTGGGAAGGCCACAGGGCTCTCAGCTTATACTCTGAGTCCTACAAAGAATGCTGTTAATTCACTGATGTCACACATTGGATGCCTGTGAGTCACTCACTCACTCAGCTGGCTCGGACTGAGACCTACTTTATACCAGGTGCCGATCCAAGTGCTGGGGAGACCCCAGAGGGGGCCTGGATCACGGCATCACTGTCCTTCTCCATTTGCTCCCAGAATCCTACTCAAGAACCCCACATGGAATTGGGGGGTGGAGGCAGGTGAGTTATTGTGAAATTCATTTCATTATGTTCCTTTAGACATATTTAATTAGCATGAAAATAGTCGCTAACTTTGATAAGTTTTCTTTTCCCTTCCTATGTATTTTTGAGGAGGGTATAGTTTTGGTGCAGCAAGAGTAATTGATAGATATCTGGTATGTTAGGATTTTATATGAAAAATTAAGAAGGGAACTGGCACCTTATACAAAGGGAAGAGGCAGTGAGGAAAACACAAGCCACCCTCGAACTTGGCTACAATTCAGCTTTCCTGGATTTGAAACAAGGGAAACATAATTCAAAATATATTCCCTAAATATTTTAGCACATAGTAGAAATACATGGAGGCAAAGTTCACCTCACTGGAAACTACAGTAATGTGCTTACTTAAGCGAAGGTATAAACAGACCACAGATACTATAATGCATCCTGTACTTTAAACTAGTTCATGTGAGCAAGTTTCATTTCACATGAATTGCTCAGTATCAATTTAGGGAATATGTCCTTCTCCTTGTTTGGTAAATATAGCTCACTGGTAACCAGATTAAACAAAGTATATTGTTAAGTAATTAACCTATTTTCTTCAGGAAATGCTTTTGAGTAATCTGAGTTAAATATTTCCTCTATCTGATCTATTTCTTTTCACAGAGGAAAGTAGTATTATTTGCACATGAGCTACTTTTACTCCTCTGGAAATATCTGACTGTGAGTTCAGGGTGAGAGTTGTCTACTAAACAGTACGGAAAAAAAAAGATTCATTTCACAGCAAAGATCAGAATCTTGTTTTTTTTGAGGGGCGTGGTGAGCTGGGGGACAAGGGAAATGCCTTTGTCTAGAGACAGACCCCAGTAATCCATACTGAAGCTGAAAGATGAAGCCCTTGTGAAGAAATGTGGAAGGACACACTGACACCCAAAGATGTTCACTCGGCAAAAACAGAAAGAAAGAAAGAAAAAATAATTTAACTGCCCTACAATGATAATGGACAGAAACTTGGTAATAAGGGAGAGAGAAGGAAGTTTAGGGAAGGGAGGAGAAACAATGAAAGGGAAGTTGGATGCGGTGGGCAGAATAGCAGGTTTCTGGAGCCTACAATGAAGGATGATAAGAAAAACAGTAAAGTTTAAAAACAGTAACAAAATTTAAAATAGTTTAAAAATTAAAAAGCGAATTTGAAAAAATAAAATTTTTTTATAATGGCATCGAAGATTTTGAAAAGATGGAGGTTTCTTATTTCAAAATTCAAGTTGTTTGAGTTTCTGCTCCATGCTCCAAAAAACAGTAAGGCCTGCTTGTGTAAGTGTTTTTGGGGGCCACCACAGAGAGGGGCGAGCTCTGCAATTAGGTTGGCCAGGAGCCGAATGCTGGTGTGGAAGGCAAGGCAGAAGAGCGATCAGGAGTTTCATGAGAACAGAAACTCAAAGCCAGAAATTGTCTTAAAAACGTTAGTGTGGTAGGCAGAAAAATGAACCCCCCCAAGATGTCTATGTCCTAATCCCCAGAATATATGAAGAGGTAAGTTTCCTTGGCAAAGGGGGCCTATTTTTGCAGAATCAGTTAAGGTTGCTAACCAGCCGACTCTAAAAAGATGTGCTGGAGTGTATAGGTGGGCCTAGTGTAATCACCAGTGTCGTTAAAGGAGGAAGAGGGAGGCAGAAGAGGAGAGAGAGGAGAGGAGATGTGACCACAGAATCAGAGTCAGAGACACACAACCAAGCTGACCTTTAGAGAGAGAAGAGGTCACAGACGAAGAGATGCAGGTGGCCTCTGGAAGCCAGAAAATTCAAAGGTACAAGTTCCCCTGAGGCCTTCAGAAACAGCCCTGTCAGTACTTTGACTTCAGCACGCTTCTGCATTCAAGAACCCTACAAGGTTAAATTTGGTTTGTTTAGTGGAGAATTTTCTTTTTTCTTCCTACTACTATGATGTTTGGGGATACTTGTGTAAACAGCAACAGAAAGTGAATACAGTAAGCCTCTTGAAATGTTCAGAAATTGCAGATAACACTGGACTGTCCACTTTGATGTGGGATTGGGCTTATGTGAAAATCAAAAGGACAGTGTGACCTTTGCTAACATATGATTTTATCATTTTTAGGAGAACAGTAAGTCAAAACCTCTGTAGTTATTGTTTTAGACAAGTGTCTCTTAAAACTTTATGCAACCCTGTGCCTTAGGACCCCAAGAGTGTCTCTGTTCTCAGAAGAACATGGATTCAGAGAGATAGGGTCTTACATCTGTGTCCCACAGTTGTCTCTTATCGGCAATGAGAGCTTGGGCAAATCATTTACCCTCTTTAAGCCACAGGATCTTCATTTGCAAATGGAAGATAAGAATAAGGATTGTTTGGGTGATTAAATTGTACACACACACAGGCACAGGCACACACACATATACGTACAACATTTAATACAGTGACTAGCACATACTAGGCACTCAACAAATTCCTGTTATGGATTTTTAAATGCATGTAAAAAAGGAGGAGAAAGTTGTAGGAATTTGTGCGAAAACTTAATTCAAGGCCCCAAAAAGGGCCATCTCTCAAAGGGCTCTGATCAGTCAGCCCCCAGTGATGGGCTAATAAGCAGAAACTATAGCACTTGGGGATTTAAGATAAACATTAAGAGGAAGGTATTTAAGCATAATTATTAAACAGCAGGTACGTTTACACTGTTGGCTGGATCATCTTATCTGGAGAGCTTTAATAAGCAGAGTGTCTCCCCTGCTTTAGAGATGGGCACGCAGGAAAATGACTTGGATGTGTGGGCCGTTCTCACCCCAAGATCACATGACTGAGTACTCACGGAAGTAACACCTCTTGTATGTTATTCCAGATGGACTGTCCTCCCATGATTATTGTCAGCTGTGTCATCAGTTCAAGGAGACAGCCACCTGGGTCACACTGGAATATTAGAAAGAAAATCTCA